AGAGGAGAAAAATGTGTCGGTATAAACACAGCTAAACACGCTACTTATTAATGACTGATAAAAGGGGACATATGTAGTGGAAAGCTGGCTGACAGTGTGAACGCTTGTATTTCCATATTGCTACACAAATCTGAATTTTCTGTACAGTAACTAGCTGTATGTAAACCGTAAATATATGAATGAGTGCAATGGGCTTTAAACAGCTCTGAGGGTTATGGAAGCCTTTCAGCTTTCCTGGACTTATCCTTGTGCCAAAAATGGCTCCTCATTATTTCTTCATTATTATATACAGAAAGAAAGAAACTGGGGGAAAAAAGTGAAGAAAAATGAGCTACTAGGCTACCCAAATTTTGAATACATAAACAAAAAAAAAAAAAGAACACTATGGCGGTTATTTTTTTATTTATTTTTTTAATTCCTTTATTTGTGCAAATAACATGTACAAGGAGGTAAAATAGAATATCAGTATAAGTAGTACACTGATCCATATGGAAGAAAAATATATTTGAAATATATTTAACAAATATTCTTCCCAAATATATTGATGTTTATTTGAAATACTACAATTTTGGCCATATTGCTACATTGAAACAGTTTTGTGAAGAGGAGTGGTCCAAAATGACTCCAGATCGTTGTGCAGGTCTGATCTGCAACTACAGGAAACGTTTGGTTGAGGTTATTGCTGCCAAAGGAGGGTCAACCAGTTATTAAGTCCAAAGGTTCACATACTTTTTCCTCCCTGCACTGTGAATGTTTACATGTTATGTGCAATTAAACCATGGCAACATCTAATGTTTGTGTAGTATTATGTTCAGCAGACTGTGTTCTTCTATTGTTGTGACTTAGATGACAATCAGAGCACATTTTATGCCCAATTCATGCAAAACTCCACGTAATCCCAAGGGGTTCACATACTTTTTCTTACAACTGTATATATATATATATATATATATATATATATATATATATATATATATATCTGCATGTTGAAATGCGTTTTTTATATATTACAAAATATATGAAAAATATTTTTAAAAATATATATTTTTTTAATACATTCTTCAGATTTTTTTTAAAATATAAAAAAAGTCATCGTAACATATATTTTTTACATATATTTGTAAATGCATTCCAAAAATGTAGATTTGTATTTTTAAAGACAAAGAGTATATTTGAAAATGTATTTTGAAAAAATATTTTTCATGTATTTTGTAATAAAAAACGCAATTCAACATACTATATATATATATATATATATATATATATATATATATATATATATATATATATATATATTTTGATATATATTGAATATGGCCAAAATTGTAGTATTTCAAATATATGTCAATATATTTGGGAAGAATATTTTTAAAATATATTTCAAATATATTTTTCTTCCATGCGTGAGTAACAGAACAAGAGAATGCCACATTGTACAGGACGTTTAGATAAAAATGGTCATAACCAGAAACAGAAGGCATACATGAATTAATTCAGTTTCAAATGGAAAACCATGTTGTGAAGAGCATCATGAAGCAAGGATATGGTAATGGTGTGTGGAGGTAGTCATGAAGTATAGGGGGATAGGGAAAACTGTGAAGTGGGATGGAGTTTACCAATCAAATGATATCACTAAAAAACAGCACAGGCAACGTTGCCGACCCTCTGTGTACACAAAGTCATCTTGGCGTTTAATATAGGGGCTGGGCGTGGAGCCCGAAGGTGTAAACTGTGAAAGCGGGATGGGGAGGAGGGAAGAAGGTGAAGGAAAAAGGGAGAAGGAAGGGTCATGGGGAAAGGGAGCCAGGTGGGGTAAAGTGGAGCAAATAATTTAAGGCATACCTCCTCTCCAATGCCCTATTTTTGGGTATCAGAGAAATAGTGTTCCATCATTGGTGTCAGTGAGAGAAATAGTGTCCTATCATTGGTGTCAGTGAGAGGAATAGTGTCCTATCATTGGTGTCAGTGAGAGGAATAGTGTCCCACCATTGGTGTCAGTGGAAGATATATTGTCCCATCATTGGTGTTCAGTGGGTGACGGAGTGCCCCATCGTTGGTGTCAATGGAAGGAATAGTGCCCCATCATTCATGTCAGTGGTCCCGTTATTGATATCAGTGAGAGGAATAATACCTCATCGTTGGTGTCAGTGGAAGGAATTATGTAGTGTTGTTAATGTCAGTAGAGGAATAGTGTCCCAAGGGCCAGACAAAGGTTAGCATAGAGCCGCACCTGGCCCCTGGGCTACAGTTTGGAGACCACTGTTCTAGAGCAATCCCACAGGAATGGTATATACATAGATACATCATTCCAAGCTGGACCAATGGAGCTATGTAAAAATATCTATACCTGGAAATTTTCTTTAATCCAGTTTTATATTTTTCCACTAAAATAATATTGCCTGTAGACGTTTAATTTATCCTGAGATAAAAGAATACTTAAAAAAAAAAAAAAAAAAAAAAAAAAAGAGTTCTGGGCAGAATCGGATGAACAAAATGAGAAACTTCAGAAAATGTATGTAAAATAATTTCATAATGATCAAACTGATCATACAAATGTTTTGAAATATTTCTTCGGCATAAAAGGGAATTTTGTATCACGTTGTCACCAATTAGTGGCTGTTCTGGCAATTTAACAGCGTTAAACCTCTTCTATATGGGGAACACTGCACAGAGAATTATGGTAAAACATTTCATGTGTTATAGAAATTGTATGCAATATGCGTAAAAATCGACATAACTACCCCATATGTGAGATTATAATATAGGCTCAGTGATTTTTCACACTTACGTATTAAATTCCTAATTTCAGCAGTAAACATCAGCTCTGTGAACATTTCTCATAGCAATGCCAGTGGAACAATCTTTTCACACAATATCCTCTAATACAATGGGATACAATGGGATACAACGGGAATATGGGACTAAGTATGTATTTACAAAATTGTCTCCTGTTTCTCAAAAGAACTGGTCTTCCATGTTGGTACGTCCATTAGTATGCCAAAGCCAAATGTTACACATAGTATCCACTTCCGATCCGGAATATTTTACCAATCCCTTCATTGGCTCCCGATTGCCCAACGCATCAAATTCAAACTGCTAACTCTGACCTACAAAGCCATTCACAATGCAGCCCCAAACTACATAACCAACCTGATACCCAAATACTACCCTACCGGTGCCCTCCGCTCCTCACAGGACCTCCTACTCTCTAGCTCCCTGGTCTCCTCCTCCTATGCCAGACTGCAGGACTTCTCTAGGACTTCCCCCATCCTCTGGAACTCCCTACCCCAATCCATCAGACTGTCGCCTACCCTCCTCACCTTCAGGCACACCCTGAAAACCCTCCTCTTCAGGGAAGCCTACCCCAACCTCACCTAACACCTGACCTCACCTAACATTTAACCTCCTCCACTCCTCCCACCACTCCATCCCCCACAGCCATTTCCTCCTGAACCACCTTCCCCTCCCTCCTAGATTGTGAGCTCGAAAGCCCTCGTGTATTGTATTGTTACTGTCTTGTCTCATGTTCTGTCCCCCTTGCTACTGTACAGCGCTGAGCATACCCTTTGGCGCTATATAAATACTGTATAATAATATAATAATAATAATTTTACCCACTTGATAACCGGCATTTGGGAGGCATTTATCATCCACTGGTCTCAGTTTTTCTTTACTAATTTTTGTTTCATCATTTTTTGCCTGAGATATATGAGAAATCCTTGGCTGTGTTCACATAACAATTAGTTCTTAAATTTCTTGGCGGTTTTTACTTCACATGGAATCATGTAAGTGTAGAACTATATTGTAAATTATCAAATTGTTTATAATAATTAAATTGGTTCATGTATATTGATACATATATGTTTGCTATAGGCGTGATGCCTTCTTGAACACTTCTGAGGACAAGATTTTTGTTGACGTCGAAACGCGTCAAGTGTGACCCATGCATGATCCATGACTAGATTTGCAATACCACCTTTGATGACACCGACGCAATATGTATTGTGGCTTTATGTTTATTTTTTAAGATTGTAAAAATAAAACTGCATATTGTTTTAAAAAAATCTTTATTGAATTGTTTAAACTTACTATATAAAGAAAATTGTGCCGTTAAAGTCCCATTAAAAAGAGGACTTTCCCCCCCTTCCACTTCATAACCAGGCCATTTTTTGTTATTAAGCACTGTGCTGCTTTAACTGGTAATTATGTGGTCATGCTACGCCGTACCCAAACAAAATGTATATCTTTCCCACAAATAGAGCTTTGGTTTGATGGTATTTGATCACCACTGGGTTTTATTTTTTATTCTAGAAATGAAAAAAGACAGGAAAAAAAAACAACAACATTTTCTATGTTCTGCTATAAAATATATCCAATACAAAAAAAAATCCTCATAAATTTAGACCAAAATGTATTCTGCTAAATGTCTTTGGTAAAAAAAAAAAATCCAAAATAAGTGTATATTGATAGGTTTGTGTGAAGGTTATAGCGTCTACAAATAATAACATATACTGGAATTTTATTTATTTTATTTTTATACTAGTAATGGCGGTGATCAGCGAGTTATAGTGGGAATATATATCAGACACTAACTGACACTGACATCATCAGTGACACTAATATAAGGATCAGTGACACTATTATACACTGTCACTATATTAATGACACTGGCTGGGAAAGGGTTAACATCTCAGGGTAAATAAGGGGTTAAGTTTGTGCCTAACAATTGTCAATGTGTGTATTATTCTCATTGGCTGGGACCTGCTAACAAAATCCTGCTGCTTCTAATCACAGCGGGAGTCGGCAGGCAGGGGTGTGCACTGAGTACCCAGAATAGGCCAGCGATTTTTCAGGCATGCTGCAGTACGATGCATTGTAGGTGGAGAATTACTTTAATAAGGGGTGGGGCATTCATTTGACCTGTTCCCGGCCAATAGTAAAATGATGGCTGAAATTGTGGTATTTAAGGCATATTGGTGCTTAATGGGAGGTGGTCAGTGGGAAGACTGTTTCTTACATTGGTGGTCAGCGGGAAGAATGCCCCCTACATTGGTGATCAGCGGGAAGACTGTTTCTTACATTGGTGGTCATTGGGAAGAATGCTCTTTACATTGGTGGTCAGTGGGAAGAATGTTTCTTACATTGGTGGTCATTGGGAAGAATGCTCTTTACATTGGGGGTCAGTGGGAAGAATGCGCTTTACATTGGTGGTCATTGGGAAGAATGCTCTTTACATTGGTGGTCAGTGGGAGGACTGTTTCTTATATTGGTGGTCAGCGGGAAGAATGCCCCCTACATTGGTGATCAGTGGGAAGACTGTTTCTTACATTGGTGGTCAAGACTGTTTCTCTTTACATTGGTGGTCAGTGGGAAGAATGTTTCTTACATTGGTGGTCATTGGGAAGAATGCGCTTTACATTGGGGGTCAGTGGGAAGAATGCTTTTTACATTGGTGGCCATTGGGAAGAATGCTCTTTACATTGGTGTTCAGTGGGAAGAATGCTCTTTACATTGGTGGTCAGTGGGAAGACTGTTTCTTACATTGGTGGTCAGTGGGAAAAATGCCCTTCTTTAGAGGTAGATAACATGATCATTGGTGTCATTGGTTACTTAACTAACAAAAGAGAGGTGGAGCGATAGTTGCCCCATGCCATTGGCTCTGCTAAGTGGGATTGGTGCCAGAACTGTGCAGGCCCCATCAGATGGGAGTTTGATCCACCACTGTTGAAGGAACTTCTAGCAATCTCTGGAGGAACCCTAGTTGAGAAAGGCTGCTTTAAGCAATTCTTTCTAGACCTCCACTATAGAATCAGTTAGATCCCGGTCATATCTCAGACCACAGGATGACTGATGTACCTCTAGAAGCACATCTCTCGTAGCCAAGCTGTGTCACCCTTCTGTTTTCCCTTTACGAAGGAGGCACCTTGATATATTGACACAACACTTCCAAGGAGCACTCAATGCCTTCTAAAAGTAATCAGCTTTTCTGATACCTAATCTCATTTGTTCCCATTCACTTTGTCTTGGAAAAACTGAATTGTGGCTTGATGGAGAATTGAACCTCTGAAAAGACATCATTTAGCAGCCATTGATCTTTGGGCCTGTGCTATCTCCTCTGTTATAATGGAAGAAAGAAAGACTCCCATCTGTGGGTGCCGGCTAATGGAAAAAAGACGGTGGAGTGAAATAGAGAATCACAGAGCAAATGGCCATCCTTTTAATACGATGATCACCTACCCGACCCCCATGATGAATGTGCGGCCTGACAATTGTTCATCGTCTCTTTACACAGCGAGCTGTATTGTACAAAATCAGCAATTTTTTGGTGTCTCAGCAGCTGCTCTCAGCATTTTGAAAGGTGTTCTTTTATAGGAACGTTTAAGGAGCAACTTGTATTAAGACGCATTTTTCCACTTACGTATCTCTTCGTAATGGAGGAAGTTTTTAGGAACAGCAAGTTCACTTATCCGTATAGTCTTTACTACATTACAAATGATTTATTATTTATTACAGGTGCATATATAGTGCCGTCAATTTACAAACGGTAACAAATAAGTCATCAAAGTGCAATAAAAAAACTGTTTATAAAAGACATGTAAACTGCAATATGAAAAAGGAACGAGGTGGCCTCCAATAAGCCTGCTGAAAAACCTTCTGCATCCGACACTTCCTCTGAGTGTCGATTGCCTGGTCCCAGTCTGTGATTCTGTTCTTCCAACCCTACGTCCTTACAAGATTCATTAATATCATAGGGGCCAGAAGAAAAAAAAATGCCCAGCAGGCTCCAGACATCCAACACACAATGGAAGTGTTCCGGAGGTTGAAGATGTTTCACTTAGCAGAGGTAAGTGATGCAATTGGCAGGAGGGGTAGGTGTTACTTCTTTTCATTGCAGGGATGCCTTTGAGCTGGTTATCTAAAAAAGAAAAATGTAACTTACAGTATTTAATGTAAAAAAGTGACAGGGCCTCTTTAACAGGTTTTAAATCCGAACCTTACCTTCAGACTTTCACATTTGTACCGGCTCCTTTCCTGTACAGAAATGATTTGCTCTGATTTCACTGCACACTGTGAGCTTCCCACAATGGGCATTAGATGCAGCTATTCAGTGCTCTGCCTCATTTCCTGGCTGAAGGATGTCCAGCATCATCTAGCTCTTTCCTGCCCAGTCCTTGCTGTCCCTAGCCCACCCCTTTCATTAAAATGGAACTAAATGCTCTCAATCAACATGAACTAATTTTAATCCTCATGCTGCTAGTATCAGTAAATAGATAAGAAGGTATGTTATATTTTATGTTTTAACCTTTTTTTATACATTTTTATTAGTTGACAAAATGATCCCATACATCCCAGGAGTCTTCATGGGCATTTATTTTTCTTTCATCTGTAGGAGCGGAGGAGTGACTGTCTCGGCTAAGCACACCCTCCTGCCTGCATGTCTGAGCTAAGGGCAGATGGATTCCAGAAAGTATATGCTACATGAATCACCTGCTCTTACTAATAATGGCCACAGCTAGAAATGCTGGGGGGTGGGGTAATTAAAATAAATCATGGAGACATGGAGGGATGGTGGAGTTTGCTTTGAATAATAAGATAGAGTTAAATAGTGTTTTCAGTTTATGGTGCTCAGATACAGTTTAGTCCCACATTTATCATGCCATATAGTGGCTACCTTTCACTGTTCTTCTGTCACAATGAAAGTCTACCTGACCGATTGAAAATAGACTCTCTGGAGAAAAGTGCTCATCATCATTGTCTTCATTATTACTATAATCATTCATCATCACCATACCACTGACATCATCATTATATCCTCATCATCATCATGATATCACCATAATCACCACCACCGTCATCCACATCATCATCACAATCACTATCATCACCATCATCATTCAAATACCATCATTCTCATCATATTCATCACCATATCCTCATTATCATCCTATCACCATCATCATCATCCCCTATCATCATCATCATCACTATCATCACCATCATTATACCATCATTCTCATCATATCCTCATTATCATCCTATCATCATCATCCTATCATTATCATCATCACTATCATCACCATCATTATACCATCATACCATCATTATTATCATATCATCATTATCATCAATCATATCATCATCATCATATCATATTCATCATCCTATCACCATCATTATCATCATCTTCATCATCATCATTATCATCATACCTTCATCACCATCATCATATCAATCATCTATCCTTCATCCTATCACCATCATCATCATCATCATCCTATCACCATCATTATCATCTCATCATCATCATCATCATCATATCACCATCATACCTTCATCTATCACCACCATCATCATCATCATCATTTATCCTCATTATCATCCTATCACCATCATCATCATATCATCAGCAGCAGCATTATCATCACAATCATCACCATCATTATATCATCATTCTCATTATTATTATAATTATCATATCATCATCATATCATCATCATATCACCATCATCATCATTATATCCTCATTATCATCCTATCATCATCATCACCATTATTATGTCATCATTATCATCAATATTATAATTTTCATATCATCATCACAATCACTATCATCACCATCATTATACCATCATTCTCATCATATTCATCATCATATCCTCATTATCATCCTATCACCATCATCATCATGATCATCCTATCATTATCATCATCATCATCCTATCACCATCAATAATCATCATCACTATGATCACCATCATTATACCATCATTCTCATCATATTCATCATCATATCCTCATTATCATCCCTATCATCATCATCCTATCACCATCATCATCATCCTATCATCCTATCATCACCATCATTATACATTATATCATTCTCATCATTATTATAATTATCATATCATCATATTCATCATCATACCATCATCATCATATCCATCATCATATCATCATCCCCTCCTCATCATCATCATCATCATCATCATCATACATCACCATCATACCTTCATCATATCACCACCATCATCATCATATCATCAATTATCATCCTACCACCATCATCATCATATCATCATCATCAGCATTATCATCACAATCATCACCCCATTATATCATCATTCTCATCATTATTATAATTATATCATATCATCCCATCATCATCATCATCATCATCATCATCATCATCATCATCCTCATTATCATCCTATATCATCATCATCATCATCATCATCATCACAATCACTATCATCATCACCATCATTATGTCATCATTCTCATCAATATTATAATTTTCATATCATCATCATTATATCACGATCATCATCATTATTATCATCATCATATCACCATCATCATCAACATCATATCACCATCATCAGCATTATCATCATAATATCACCATCATCATCAACATATCACTGTCATCATGATCTTCATCATCATCATCCCATCATATTATTATTATCATCATCATCATCTTCATAATATCACCACCATTATCATTATGTCCTCATTATCATGATGATATCATTCTTTTTATAATCACCACAAATTCCATCATCATTATCAGGGCCATGGATAAGGGGGTACCACCAGTCCTCCTGTACGGGGCCCAGGCTAGCAGGGGGGCCCAGGCAAACTGGGTGAATCAGATGTGGGCAGGGAGAGTGGGGGAGAGATTGGCACAGTGGGGGAGGCAATTACTGGAACTGATGAATGCCTCTCTTTGCAGCAGCTGAAATCTTCTCCCCCCCCGTCCTGCTGGTTTTCAGCTGCTGCAGAGAGACATACAGGGGATCGGTTCCAGTAATTGGCCCACCCTGGCTGTACCCATCACCCTCCCTGTGCACCATACATTTCCTCCTGCTGCCCAGGACCCCCCTGTGTGTCCCCACCCCCACAGTGCTGCTGGCTTCCCTCCTCTCCTTCCCATTGGCAGTTGCAATCACACAATAGGATCCTTCAGGATGGAGAGTGGGGGAAGGGTCCGATAAATATGTCACATCTACCAGGCCCTTCCTTTCCTGAATGAACACAATGAGTGACCGGTACCGATCACTCACTGTGCTTATTCATAAACCGAAGCATAGTAAACTGTGTTTCTTTTTGGGAAGGGCCCTGTCAGGTTGGCTGTATGGGGTCCCCATGGTTTCTAACAGCAGCCCTGATCATCATCATCCCAACCACCTTCATCTCCATTACATCATCATTCTCGTATAATTATAATCATCAAACACCATCATCATCTTCCTCATCATATTATTATCTTTATCATTTATCACATCACACACCATTATCGTCATCATTATTATCATATCATCGTCATCTCACCATCATCAACATTATTGATCTTCTTCACTATCAATTTTTTTCATTGTCATCATCATCGTCATCCTATCATCATCATATTAACATCTTCATCAGCATAATCATTTAACCGTCATCATAATCACCATCATCATCATCATCATATCATATCATCATCATCACCATCATCATCATCATCATCATATCATCATCATATCACCATCATCAACATCATTCATCATTATTATCATATATCATCATATCATCATCATCATCATCATTATTATCATATCATCATCATCATCATCATCATCACCATCATCATTATTATCATATCATCATCATATCATCATCATCATCATTATTATTATCATTCATCATCATATCATCATCATCACCATCATCATTATTATCATATCATCATCATATCACCATCATCATCATCATTATTATCACATCACCATCATCATTATTATCATATCATCATCATCATTATTGATCTTCTTCATTATCATGTTATCATCATTATCATCACATTGTCATCATCTTATTAGCATCATCATCATCATCTTGCCATCATCATCATCGTCATCATCATCATCATATTAGCATCATCATCATTATTGTCATCATCATCATCATCATCATCATCATCATCATCAATCATCATTATCATCATCATCATATTAGTATCAGAAGCAGCATCATTTAACCATCATCAAATCATCATCATCATCATCATCATCATCATCATCATCATCATCATCATCATCATCATCCTATCATCACTTAGCATCATCACCAGCATCATCACTTATCCATCATCATCATCACCACCATATTATTAACATCATATTAGCATTATCATCATCATCAGCATCATCATTTAACCATCATCAAATCATTGTCATCATATCATCATCATTTAACCATCATCAAATCATCATCATCATCATCATCATCATCATCATCATCATCATATCATCATCATCAAATCATCATCATCATATCATCATCATCATATCATCATCATCATCATCATCATCATCATCATATCATCATCATTTAACCATCGTCAAATCATCATCATCATCATCTTATCATCATTTAACCATCATCATCATCATCATCATCGTATTAGCATCATCATCATCATTATCCTCATCATTGCACCACAGTCCCCACTATGGACCTGCACAGGACAGAGCTGAGGCAAGTAAAGCTCAGATGGTGTGTCCTCCTGGATATTACAGTAGAGTTTTCTGTGGGAATATTGGTCCGTCCTTGGCGGGGCCCCCCCTCCACTCTGACATTAAATAAACCCACCCAGCACCACTTTGTATAATCAGCATTTATGAAGCCTTGATTGATTTTCAACCGCAAATGACAGCTTTCCAGAAAGCAGGTGCCGGCTAACAGCTGCGTCCATTAGCCTTGGTACCACGGCTCCAATCCCAGCTGGTCCGCGTTCCATCGCTCCGATTGCATCCATCTTATCTCTGCAATTATACGGCAAGAAAGACAATTAATGACATATCGGTCCTCCAGCGAGGAAGGTAGCGAACGGATGCGCCAATCTCCTCGTCTGTGTCATTAGGCTCCCGCTGCTTCGCCTCTGATTGGCCACATATCTGGTTTTGCATCGTAAAAATGATACTTAATAATGGTTTGCCGCAAATAACCCCTTTAAAGGTTACTTGCTGCCTTGTGAAAATGATTATAAAAGTACGGTATGGGTTTTTTTTTGTGCTTTTACTCTTTCGGCCTGCGCTTCCAAAGGCAATGGGTAAAATCAACCACTGGACTGGTTATGATAACCGAGAAAACACTACAAAAAAATACAAAAAAGTTTAATTTGTTAGATATTACATTGATGGAATAGGCAATCGTTTTACAGTGACTATACTGTGCAACTTCCCTCTCATGCTTCACTAGCTAGAATGGTATGGTTACATGGGGCTTTGTCCATCAACCGATCAATTTACTGACCAATCAAGAGGAAAGGATGGCTACAGTTCAAACAGGCTCATCCGTGTGAAACTGAAAAACCTAAAAATAATGCAGCCCTTAACCCCTCGCCTACTGGGCACTTATACCCCCTTCCTGCCCAGGCCAATTTTCAGCTTTCAGTGCTGTCACACTTTGAATGACAATTGCGCGGTCATGCAATACTGTACTCATATGAAATTTGTATCATTTTTTTCTCACAAATACAGCTTTCTTTTGGTGGTATTTAGTCACTGCTCAGTGTTTTATATTTTTGTGCTATAAACAAAAAAAGAGCAACAAATTTGAAAAAAAAAAAAGTTTCTTTGTTTTTATTATAACATTTAGCAAACAGGTAATTTTTCTCCTTCACTGATGTGCATTGGTGAGGCTGTACTGATAGGCAGCACTGATGGGCACTGATAGGCAGCACTGATGGGCACTGATAGGCGGCACTGAAGGGCAGTGATAGGCAGCACTGATGGGCACTGATAGGCAGCACTGATGGCAGATAGGCAGCACTAATGAGGTGGCACTGATAGGTGGCACTGATAGGCAGCATGCATGAGCTGGCACTGATGATGGGTACTGATAGTCGACACTGATAGTCGGAACTAACTGGCGGCACGGCTGGGCACTGACCGAGAGCACTGCTGGCAGCATTGACTGGTGGCACTGCTGGGCTGCATTGATGGGCACTGATAGGCAGCACTGAAGGGCAGTGATAGGCGGCACTGATGGGCACTGAAAGGCAGCATTAATGAGGTGGCACTGATAGGCGGTACTGATAGGCAACACTGATAGGTGGCACTGATAGGCGGAACAGATGAGCTGGCACTGATAATGGGTACTGATAGTCAGCACTGATAGGTGGCACTAACTGGCGGCACTGCTGGGCACTGACCGGCAGCACTGCTGGGCTGCACTGATGGGCACTGATCATCAGGGCACTGATTGCATTTCCCGTTGATCAGCGTGTCATTGGACATGGCTGCTCATATGGTAAAAGGCCGCTGTGATTGGCCTTTTACCACATCATGTGATCAGCTGTGTCCGTAGGACACAGCGATTATGGAGATTACCGGGTGCACACCCCCCCTGGGGGCGCGCAGGAGAGCGCGTTCTGGGAGGTTGTCATATGACGGCCTCATAGAACTGGCCGGCCGCAGTGCAGCCATCATTTGGCCATTGTACGCAAAAATGCACCAAAAATGCATCAAAAAGGAGCATGCACAAACACTATAGATGCATTCTGGGTGCATTTTTGCATGCGCGGTTTTGATGCATTTTTGACGTATTCCAGTGCGATTTTTTTTTGCATTCCAGTTCATTTCCCCCCTCTCTTTTTCTTCAATTTAATTAGTGATGTGTATTCCAATGCGTTTTTGGTACGTTCCAGTGCATTCTGGTGCATTTTTTTATGTGTTTTTCCGCGTTTCAGTACAGTTCTATGCATGAAAAATGCAGCCTGTTCTACTTTTTTTTTTGCAACCGGGACGCACTGGAACTGCAAGCACGGATGTGAACTATAACATTGAAAGCCATATCACCTACTTTCCGTGCATTTTTGATGCAGAAAAAAAACTACTGAAATTCATGGAGTGTGAACTGGCCCTAAAGCTTTTTTTTTTTTTTTTTTCAACAATTAGTCCTCATGCACACGGGATGTTTTTACAGCGGCTGTTTTTGGCTTTTGACATTTTTTTCTACAGCCAGTAAACTCCCCAGCATGTTATCCTATGTGTCCATACACACACTGTACACACATTTTTAGCTATAAAAACTCTCTAACACTGAAAAAACGCAGTAAAACGGTGCAAACCGACGTTTTTTTTTACCTTTTTTTACCAAAACAAATTTTTTTTTGGTAAAAAAGTTCTAAAAAAAATGCTAAAAAGCACGAACGTGGAAAAACGCCGCTAAACGCTAATGCAAAAACGCTAAAAAAAGCTGAAAAACGTGACTTTACACAGCTAACGTTACCAGTGTTATCAAAACGTCCCGTGTATGTGAGGGCTAACAAACATGTCTATACTTACCTGCTCTGTGTAGTGATTTTGTACAGAGCAGCCCCGATCCTCTTCTTTTCTGGTCCCCTCCAGCGCTCCCGGCTCCCCCTCCTTGAGCAATGCCCCCATGGAAAGATGCTCACCCTGGGGGCACCTCTGTGCGCTTGTGCCTGAGCTGCTGCTCTATGCGTCCTTTATGGTGGGGGGGAGATTTTCTTGGCATTAGCAAGGTGTACCTAATAAAGTGGCCGGCGAGTGTATTTTTTTCTGAAAATTTGCGTATGATAAACAGCTGCGCAAATACTGTGAGACTTAAAAAATTGCAACAACCATTATATTCTCCAGGGCATTTGCTTTCATAAAACATATAATGTATGGAGATTCTAAGTAATTTTCTGGCGATGATATTGATTTTTTTGAGGAATTTAAAAATTATCCCGGAGGCCAAATAGTGAAATAAAATGCGTCCCTATGAAACCTCTTGTTAACCCTTAGTTTACCCTAGTAAGCTGTAATAAACCCCTTCATCCGCTTCTCCCCTTTCTATTTTTCTAATCATTAATATTTAAACTTTTTTTTTTCAATTTAGTGAAATGTAAAACTAGCTAAAAAATTTGAGAAAAACCTTTTAATTTACCGGTATTTGAAAAATAACTTTGCGATGCTTCGTATCTGTATCCCATTTTAAATGAGACAAATATATGTATATGTGTGTATATATACAGTATATATATATATATACATATATTTGTCTCATTTAACATGGGATA